GCTTCGCTACGTGCATATTCCTCCTCCTCGACGGTACCGGCGATGGTCGGTATCGAAGCACCGCTTGCCAGTAGCATTACCACGCGTGGCACGAGGTCACCGGATAAATCTCCTCATTCCACCCTCTTTCGTCCGTTTCCTGAAGCACAAGCACGTCATTACATTCCTACCGATATACTCCGCTAATATGTATGATATGTATGATAATATGTATGATGTTCATTCGCATAAATTCCGACGACAATTTTACCAAATAGCATTATTTCATAAAAAGTAACGTTAAAATAATATCCACTTGGACAATATTTTTACAAATACAATTTCCATAGTAAACTATTGACATGTTACGTCACATTTTATAATTATTAATTTAGTTTATTTTAAATTAGTTTATTATAAGTATATGATTTGAAGCAATATTACTGAATTCGCATAATAATTATATAAAGATCATCGATTATTTTTACGATTTTCTACACGTGTTCAAATGTTATCCTTCAAAATATCTGTGTAGATAGGTAACGAACTATGCTCCATAATACCGCTTGTGCGACGGTACCGTTTCCATGGCAATGCATCGTCGATAGGTCTGGCTACACACCACCTATCTACTGTATCTTGCTATTGTCCATGAGGTGCATTCAAGTTTATCGTTTCTAATCAAGTAACGGTTTCTTATCGTGACTTAGACAATATAAACAGCAAATTTCGCAAGAAACGAAAAATTCAGTGATTTAATTTGTGATTTTTGAAAATTTAATTGTTTTTAAAATATTCACCGAGGATTAAAATGAAATGTTAGGATAAAATATTAAAATTTGTTTATATTGTAACAAAACAATTATAAATAATAAATTTGTCAACTATTAATAATTATTATTGATTTAACGAAATAAGGGGCATAAACATTGCAATTAATGCCAAAAATTATTTAATTACACAAGAATATAAAATGCATAAAATACTTTTGTGACTCATAAAAGGAATGTACGTATTCAATATTCTATCCTATCTTATATTTATTATTAAATTTTTTACTCAGACCTCAACTTTTGAAACCTGTATCTTATTTTAAATACAGTATTATATTTAAAGTTTAAATCCACATGCATGTATTTCATTTGTTAAAATTTAGTTCAAATTTTTTCGTGACCATTTATATTTACATCAAATTAAAAATATTATGAAATATAGACACTAATTAAATTGTTCTAAATCTTGTCCTAAAACAACAAAATATTTTTATTTCTATTTGTATCTTTTTCATATTACAAAATAATAGAAATAATCATAAAATTTAGTTCAATATATAACAATTTAATGATTTATATATAAAAAAATAAAGGTGTATACAAGATAAAGGAAGATTATATACATTATTATATTTTTCCACAGAAATAGGTCGAGCTATAAAGCTTCCATAATTCTATTAAACTCCCTTCCTATGTAACCAACTTTATTGAAACATGCAATAAATAAAAAAATATTCCCTGCACAATAACCTCCCATCAATTTAATTATAGGCTATTTAAAGCCCATCGAATGAATTTAACTATGTACCTTCACAATTTAAGAATAAATAGTAAATATTATAAATTTCATTTTCAAATATAAATCAGTAGATTAATTGATAAATTAGATAATAACTATTTAAAAATCACACTAAACTCGTGATAATTAACTATAATTAAAATAGTAACAGATTTCTGCAATAAATTAAACGTATGATTAATATAAAAATGAAAAATTATAATTGCTAATTAATATTATTAAGCCTTTATTAAATGAGATAAACTCGCGACCAATAATTATCTAATAAAGTTGCATCGGTTCGATGAGTTTTCAATCTAAGATCTAATGCGATACGCAAACCTATAACCGCGATGCAACCGAAGCGTCCACGCGTCCGCTCATGCCACCCCTCTAGTCACTTTCCCTTTCCCCTCCCCCTCCCCCTTAACCTCACCCTACCCAACTCCTTTACATCCACGCTCATTCGTTACCCTCCGTTTTGGCACGACGTCACTGAAACCCACCCCTCCGCCCATGCACTGTCGTCGTACCAACCCCACGAAGTCACCCCCTATCCCTGACGCACACTTGCTCTGTCTCTTTTCCATCCTGTTTACCTGTCCTCCTTCTGCGCCATCTTCTAAGCGCAATTACGTCTCGTCCAAGCAGACCCGTTTACACGAGACGCTGTTAAGGTCGACGACCTTGAAGAATGTCCGACGACACATCGTCATGGACGATGCTTCTTACGTGTACCTCGGTGTCTTCTTACGACTAGCCCTACCTGGCGTTGGATTACCTCTTTCACCCTTTCGTGGTGCACGAAACGATAGGTTTACCTTCGTCCGTTTACCTTGTAGTCTTTCTACGCGATTGTTTAACGCTAACAATTTGAGGTTATGTCGTAATAACATACCTTCGTTAATTTCCGCTGCTTTATGCCGGTTCGAACAGTTGGCAATATTTTGACGTCTTTATCGCGGGAAGTTTTGAAATCTTCTTATCGAGGAGAACAGGTTGGCAAAGCTATGAGCCAATAAGTACTTTGTTTCAGGATGTGAATGTGTATACTGTTTCTTTAGCAGTTAACCTTTCACATGACTTCTACAACTATCCCGGTTATATTGCATAGTCTCACTTTCACTGTCTTATCCAGCGAATGGTTTACACTTGATAATTCATAATACACGCGAATGCTAATGATACAGCTTTTACGAAGGTTGTAAGAAATTTTCACAACGATTATCAAATCAAACGACAACAGGTGTCTCGATAATGAATCGTAAATATTAATAAGAATTTGTGCAATTGCTTGCGTATAAATAATTATACTTGTTACATAAAAAATAAATTGCATTCCAATTATTTCATTGGAAAATATTATTCTATTTGTAAATCATCGTTTTCATTAATTTTCTCAAGAAGAGAAACGTACAATATTGAGAGTAAATAATATTTACCTTTTACAACGTAAATACACCGATACGGAAGTAGAGTTCCATGGATGAATGTCCAAAGATGAGAAGAAGAGGAAGTCAAATAGAAATACTGTTAGCCATAACACCATAATCTCACAAAAACTTCGATTTACAATATTTATGTTTCAACAAAATCACTAGTAATGTTTCGTATAAAAGCACAAATATGTCCCACATTAAAAAAGATTTATCACAAATACAGTAGTAATTATATTATTATAAACACTAAGTTTTATTACTTTAAACAATAGCTTTGATATGCTTCAATTTTCTCAGTATAATAATGAAAGAAAATCTTCATTCTCCATTTTGGCGCCACATTGGTAGTCAATCGCGAGTATGTAACATCGATAAAACAGTTTCAAAATCGATTGGAGATCACTAAAAATACGAAGCAAGTTTACGATATCTTTGACACAATCTTTTCAAAACACAAATCTACAAAAGCCTGTACTATACGATTAATGAACCACGTGCTCACTTCTTTATGTCAACAATCGGCACAAACAAATAGTTAACTTGTTTACCAATGCGCGAAACGTATAGTTTGAAATGGAACATGGCGGTAGGACGGTAATTTCGACGAGAAGCGTATAGTCAGGAACAACGTTAATAGAGTATCTTTATGATCTACGAAATACAGATGTAACTGCAGTGCGCAAAAGAAATCGCAAATCGAGCCGAATCGACATACGACGTTACGTTAACACGAAGACGAAAGTGCAGTACGTGCGGTGGTAGTGGCGGTGCCACGAGTAACTGCGGCAACGTGCGCAAAGCGCGTTCAATCGATAATACAGGTTACCGCGGAACTGCGATAGCCAATAGCAATCAGATCACATAAGACACACGCGAGGAACACGTGGAAACTGGAAATGCGGTCGCGGTTTAATGTATTGGCAATATAACCGATGTTGTCGGCGGGAAACGCGTCACACGACTGACGAGTACTTTGCCACCCTCATAGACTCCCCTTTCCACCACCCCCTTTTCCACCCCCTCGATTCGTTTCACCCCAGACTCGTTCGTTCAACCCCAACGTTCAAGAATATGCTGCGGATGCTTGCATCGTTATTGGGACGATACAAATTGATACCTTTTCAACAGAGAAAACTTCTGAATGTCCTGTGCTTCATACTTCCTTTCTTTGTGCTTCGTTCTTCTGTGCTTCGTGCCTTCTTTCCGTAACATTAGAATCAACGTGAATTTCGGCATCGTAATCAATTGTGTTCGTCTAACCATTCGTACTTAAAATGTCGTTACGTAATACCGTTGACGTAAGAATCTTCCTTAAATATGTTTACATTTAAAGATGTTATTATTCGTAAAAACAACAAATTAAATATTAGATGTGTTTTAGAAACATATCATATTATTAAATTATATAAAAAAATCGGAGTGATCATATAAATATTGATTAAAATTTCGAGACAAAGAATAAATGAATACTGAACATCTGTGATGTGTACTGTGTTTATGGAAGTGTAAAATTAAAATAAATTAACTGTGAATATTAATGGTATAAAAGAAACATAACGTAATTTCAAAAACTTTTACAATAAAAAGTATGACCTGAATCTCATATTTAATAATCACACATTTATATATTTATTATTGTATATAACACTACTTCGTGTACAGATTTTATTACTTTTGAGATAAAAATTTATAGTATGAAAATATCGAAGTATTTAAAATTCTGGATATAATATATAAAATAGTTCGTTGTCTTATAACAGTTTATATTATATAATTTCTGTTTAGATATAAAAAAATAAAATAATTGAATCGAATGAAAAATATTATTTCGATTTAAATATTTAACCTAACATATGATAAATATTGTCCATAATATTTAGATTATATAAGAGTGAATAAATAACTATGAAACTTATCATATAATACGATTTTACTTTTAACATTTTAAATCTTTTAACTTCTTTAGATGGCGCTAATGTATATGACTGCCAGCATTTCCCTTTCAACGTTGTCAATTAAAATGGAGAAAGAAGTTAGGTTAATTTTTAGTTGTGTAGTTGAAATATGTTGTAGTTGTAGTTGAAACATAACAAAATTGTTCATGATAGTATGAAACGAATGCGAATGCATTACGAAAACAGAGAAACCATGGTATATTTACGTGACTGGAAGCAAGCATTACGTTCTCCTCATGTCTACAGAGTTGCCAACAGTACTTTTCGCATTCAAAGTCAATATTTGGCTTTAATTTTCTTATTCTTGTTGGTTCCTCTAATCTTATTTGGATATACTTCGTTGCGTGCAATTGTACATTCGTCGTCATCAAATGAATTTTTAACACAGTGCAGACACTACAAGTACAATAAAACATACCCTTTATCAGCTCCAATTAGGACATCTAAGGGTATTACTTACCGTATAGCAATAGTAAGCGATCTTGATCATGATTCCAAAAATTTAAATAAAAGGAATATATGGCACAGTATTATGAAAACTGGAAGTCTTTTTTGGAATCCCATTACAAATTTTATTTCCGTCATTTGGGATGATAGAAATCAAATGTTAACGTCATCTTTAACTATGAAAGGACGTGGTATGGAATTGTCTGAATTAATTGTCTTCGATGGACATTTATTGTCTTTCGATGATCGTACAGGAGCTATATATTTTATCGAAGGTGAAGAAGCTTATCCATGGGTTATTTTAATGGATGGCAATGGTAAAAATTCTAAAGGTAAATTATATTTAATAACTTTAATATTATCAAAATTTATAAAGCTTTATATTAGTTCAAATTTTATGAAATTTTTAGGGTTCAAATCTGAATGGGCAACTGTTAAAGACGAACATCTGTATATTGGTAGTACAGGCAAAGAATGGACTACTCCTTCAGGAGAATTTGAAAATAATAATCCCCTTTGGATAAAAATAGTATCTCCACGTGGTGAAATCCAATCATTGAATTGGATTTCAAATTATAAAAGATTAAGACAAGCAATTCATATTGAATTTCCTGGTATATAATCATGTACTTTATATGTAATATTGTTACACATATAAATTTTGCTTTTAATTGCTTTTAATTGATATATCATAGGCTATATGATTCATGAATCAGGAGCTTGGAGTGATATACACAAAAATTGGTTCTTTTTGCCAAGGAGATGTTCTCACGAATGCTATAATGAAACTAAAGATGAAATAATGAGTTGCAATGTATTATTGGCCACAGATGAAAATTTTGTAGACATTAAGGTCTTTATGTATTTTTAATTATAAATTTAATGTTTATTAATTTTTTATTATAATATTTTATTGTAATCAATACAATTATAAAATATAAAAGTATTAATTACATTTCATTTTTAGGTTACAAAAATTGGTAATTTAGTTCCAACTAGAGGTTTTTCAAGTTTTAAATTTTTACCAGGTTCTCAGGATTCAATTATTATTGCACTTCAAACTGAAGAATATCAAGGACAGACTGCAACATACATCGTAGCATTTACAATTGATGGAAATATAATAATGCCTGAGACTAAAGTGATAGATAAGAAATTTGAGGGTCTGGAATTCATATGACATTCCTCTTACAATTAGACAAATTTCTAGCAAATTTAAAAAATGTAAATAAATGTACAGGTTTTATAGCTCTGTTATTATTATTACAAAATGACAAATAACAAAACTGTATAAACTGTTTCGCACACCTTTCCTCAAACATCAGTATTGATCTGTATGAATGTACTTTCGCTTTTATAAAAAAAGCAACACACTTGCCACACTGCTGTATATATTTATACTATTATGCATCACTTCTAAGTCGATTGTAAATATGATGTACATATATGTTTTACAAAGATCAACATCTGTTATAAAAATATATAATATAATGTTAACTGATTGCAATGTCACATAAAAATTAAGAAATAGAAATTTCATGATTTATTTTATACATTAATCATTTTATTATTTATAATAAAAGAATGTTCTAGTTTGTTTTATTTCATTCCTATTTTTATATCTCTCCCTCTCAAGATTACTTTGATGAAACTTTTTCCTAATATTATAATGCTCCTTCAGGGTCGTAATATACATAGTCTAAAATCAATAATATCTATATATGAAAACGTAAGGTGGTGGCAGCAGCATTGCGCTATGTCGAAAGACTTTAGTCAACTCGTGGCACCGTAGGTAGTAAGCTCCGTTTAGTAAACGTCACGTTCTAATTTCTTTTTTCGGTTACACATAAACATCGTTTTAATCCTATCTATTTGAAACAGTGGTGATAATGCACAGTTTGTTATAACTGTTATTGATATTCGAGAATACAGCGAATAGTATTTTGCACTTATTGCACTTTTATTTACATTATTTATGAAGTAAAGGAAACAAATTTATTCGTGAAAAAAATGAATACATATAAATAGAACAAGAAGCCCATAAAATAAATCTTAAGGATAATAAACTCGAAATAAACATTGCAAGAGTCGATTGTATTTTGACTAATTTTACAACTAAATATCTGAAATGTTTACAAAGAACCAATACGCAAATTTGTTTTTCAATTCTCATATGAAGAATATACGAAAAAATTTCCTTACGTAACATCGGCAGTCAAGCAAACTTATTCCAATACATGAAATATTTACGATGTGATAGTTACCTGTCAAAAATTATTAAATTCTAGTAATAACAAAGCTAGTGCACAGTGTAGCATCAGAGTTCTGGCGTTTTAAGAAAATATGTTGTTATTATGACGAAGATTTCCGATTCTATTATTTCTTTTGTGTCCTACATTTCAATGGGGAAAACAGGCATGTTTGATGGAAGAATATTTTACATACTTATACACAGTGATACGGTAGATGTACCGCGCCTGACAGTTTCGTGACGCAAATTCATCGACAACTGTACACATTAGTGCTGCTTCTAATCGCTGAATTACACTACATTGAAGACATTAAAAGAGTACCGCCATTGAATTGTTTAACTGAAGAAATTGACCTTACATGCATTACCATTTATTGGTCAATGAAATGTTTCTTACTTATGCACACGTGACTTTCGCATCGTAGATATCACGATATCCTTATCGGACAATTTCCCAAAGTAAAGTTGAGTCAGATCAGAAAAAATTTCACTTTGAAGAATCATGGCTAAAACGACCGAAAATGTAAAGGAATGGAATATCGCTAGAGCGGGAATTTCGTTGCTTTTGAATAACAAAACAGAGGAAGCAGAAATCCTATTTACCGAACACCCGCATAGTTTCCACGTAAAGGCCGGTCGCTGCTTTGTCTTATTTATGGTATGTGAATGATACGTTATAATTGTTTCATTTTACTATATAAGATGATGCAAAATTATTTACAATATTTTACGCTGAGCTTGCTTAAAAATAAAACACTAGGGAAAGTTCTCAAGATATGAATTTCTAAAGGAAAATATTATACAAAAATATTTTGAGTTATTTTTAGAGAAAAGTTTTGCTATTAACGTAAGGATATCCGGATATTTTACCACGTACTATCCTGTACATTTTTATCGACTGGAAGTCTATTTCGAACTGTCCTAATGACGACTTACGATGTTATGCTCTCGAAATAGGAACAGGAAGGAGTAATCGTTGAATAAATTTTTAGAATGCATTGATGACCTTTGAGAATGATAAGCTTCAGCAGGCTATGCTACTATTAAAGGAGATGGAAAGGGAATGTGCAAGTGACATAGGATGGTTGAAATCTGTGAAGAGTAAAGTCTTCAAAGCAGAGGAAACAGGCGTAACTACCATTTTCTTTTTTTTTTCTTGTTTTTAATTTAATATTTTCGTCATTATTATACACGAAGTTAAGCTTAAATTTGATGTTTATTAAAACAAAGTACAAGAACTAATAAATGAAGAACCAATAAGGAAATATTGATAAGAAAATAAATATTTTAGATGGACTATGTGAATAAATTGGAGAAGCAAATAGTCTTCGCAGATTCGCAAGTCTGCTCGGCGATATTAACATTATTGCAACAAGAACTAACTGGTTACGTACGTGGTGGTTGGATGTTACGTAAAGCCTGGCGAGTTTATCAACATACACACTCGCAAATTTTGCAGCTGCACCAGCGTACCTTTGGTTCTAGTCCATTGGGTACGTAGCGAACCCTTAACAAATAGTACCAATTTGTGCTGAGCTTAATGCATTTTGCTCGTAATGATAATTAAGTCAAATATGAACAAGGATAATATCATAAAGCTTGCAATTGTATCTTCATTTGAAGAAATGTAAGAATTAAAACATTAATTATTGAATACAAATCATTTGCATAATAGTATTCAGACGCTCGTTGGACATTGTATTATTGCAACAATTAGAAGCTTACATTACTTGAAAAGAGTATAAATATAATTTTGAGAGTAAAATACAAATTTTATTGACACTTTTATTGCATATTTTATACATATTTATTTTGATCTTTTATAAGACAATTAACCAAAATATAATTTTATTTGAAATAGAATAAAATAATTTGATATTTTTATAACATAGTTAAAGTTCCTAGGGAAACGTATTTGCCATATAAAATAATTCTTTTCTCTATTAACTTAAAATCTTTATCTTAAAAAATAATTATATTTTTCAGATATTTACGTATTGCATTTTAAAAAACCAGCATAGTTCTATAAGAAAACAATGCTAACAACTTTTGCTCTTAAAAAAATCAAAGAGGTCATTACAATTTTTTATTTTGCTTTTTTAGCTTTACTTTTACTTTTTACTTCGCATATATATTTCAGTTCTATCTTCAACTTAATTGGAACGATTAAAGCAGTCTGTTTGTAACGATCCAGCCTATGTTGTGGAAACGAAACGTCAAGCTCATTTAATTCTTACACTAGGATGAACAAGAACCTCTTCTTTAATATTCTGTTATTAGTGTGTAGTTTACTTATAAATGATTCGTCCTTGCTATTAGCGCGTGCTATTTTAATTAAAAGACATTTTGCTTAAAAAAAGAAAAAAGGAAAGTGTCAAAATTAAAATATATTTTTCTGAAAATATTCACAGCTATTACTTGTTGTAATTAAAACTAAAATTATAATTAAATTAATATGGAAATGATTAGAATTGGTACTGAAATAAAACGTCTTTTGCAATTTTCGTTTTTAATAGGTTTCAACACAAGATGCAGTACCCCTTCATATAATGGCTCTTCCTATTCGCTGCAAAGTCCACATAGTCCAGGTTCCTCGGAGTGGTCTATACCATCTTGCAATGGTTCAACAAACAATCCTACACCGATCTCGTCTCCCTCAAGCCTACGCAGCTCTTTATCAATGTTCTTCTCCCTCACTGGTATCACACCTGAACAACAGACACCGTAATTGCTATTTCTTTTTACAAACATTTCTCGACCCTACTCGTCCAATTCTCTTATACCGTTTTATTTCTACACATAATAAAATAACACAAATCTCTTTTCTTTTGTTGAAAATTCTTACATTACTCTTTCGTTATTCTTTTAAAATGCATAAATTTGATCAAATAACAACTTTATACAATTTTATAATTAAAGTATTATTTGGAATACGATTATCGATACAGAAAATCAAAGTCTAAACAATTAAATGTAGTTTGCTGTTTATGCACTAGTGATTTAGATTCCTAGTTTGGAAATCTGTTTCAAGATATCGAACCTACTTCGACCGATAACGAATGAATATTCTCCCATTGCAAATTAACAGAAGTGGAAAAGTGACGTGTTTTGCAGCTTTGTTGAGCCGTCCGAGGTCTCCCGACTGATGTCAGCAGTTAATTTTGGTTATGGAATTTATCAACTATGTGTCAGCTTGTTACCACCCTCTCTTCTAAAAGTGATCCACTTTTTGGGCTTCGAGGGCGATAGAGAAGCAGGAATTACCGCGTTAATGTATGCAAGGCTCGGTGAAGATATGCGCGCCCCTCTTGCCACGTGAGTTTGAATATTATTTTTCTCAGAATAGAATATTTTCAATATACTTCACGCTCATTCTCTTCCATTTCTGCATAGTTTTTATTTTGCTTCCAATTCTTTTCACTCGTTAATAAAAATCATTTATTGTCTTTAGTTTGAATATCGAATGTTATTTCAGTTAAATTGGCCATCATAATCCAAAAAAAAACATGTAGCCATAATTAATTTAATACTCAATATAGCATATGAAGTAGATTGAGATAATTAAATATATTTGCTTGCCATAAATATACGATTTCTAAGAAGAATAAAATTATGATTGGTTATATAAAGGCAATAATGAAGGTTAGACATACCTTACTGTCCTTCTTCAGGATTAACCCCTTGCACTCCTTTGTCGACATCAGATTTTATCACAGGAACTCCTATGTCGAGTTACACCACAGTCTAAAATTAAATTACCCCAACAATCTAGTTCCTATCTTCTCTTCTTTCATCATCTACCGATTTTATTTCAAACAGTTTATTATTTAAATAGTTTAACTTAAGAATATTTTGTGAATTACTTGTTAAAAATGTATCGTATATTATTGTCCATTCTACCCACACAGCCGCCATTTTATTGAATGCTAAAGCTCGATGTCAATTAATATATCAAATTTAAAATTACTAAAATTAATAAAATATGTTAAAATTTAAAATAAGTAAAATAATTCTATGTCTTAATTTCCATACGATTTCTTATTTACCGTTTTGAAAATATCGCCAACTATGTCAGAAAGTCTTTGAATTACTATTTTTATATAACGAGAAAAGGATTAAGCACTCGTATGTCGAGTTAGTTTTATATTTATTATAGTAATAATATTATAATATTAGTTTTATATTTATTTACTAGACGTGTTTTGATTCTTCATTCACTGAACAAGAAAACAGAAAATAAGTAATTACTTGATTTACTTGAATTCAAAATATATATTACAACAATGTTTGAAAGCTGTATTTAATATAATTAGCAAATAAAATTCTTTAAAATAAGTAACAGTAAGGATCGTCCTGTGAAGTAAATTTCAAATAAAATACTTAAAGTAGTAGGGAGTTATTGGCAACAAAATTGAAAAATAATTTGGAGGTTAAGAATTAAAGGGTTAAGAATTATAACCCACTCAAAGACAGACTGTGGACAATGATACCTACGACCAGATTCAACAGTCGGGACGTACGTGTGACTGACTTACTGAAACGTTAACACGTTAAGTGTCACGCCGGTCCCCAGGGACCGTCGCTATAATTTCCGTTTAGACCCAGCCGGTTCTCAGGAACCGTCCCAGACTAGGACCAAAAGGTGCTAATTTTTGATGTTAACCAATTGCGCTGGAAAGACGTGCCACGCACGTCGTAATGCTTTTGTCGCAGAATCGTCAACGACGTGGTATACACGTCGTCAGGCAATTGTCACAGAGATACTGGACCGTTCTAGCACACGTGTCTGTGAATTCCTTGCTAGTGGTTAAATTCTTCGCCATCTTTGGACCTAACATTTAGGAATTCTTGTTATAACAATTGGCACAGTATCTCCGAGTTTTAGGAACACTTTGCCCGCCGTCAGTGGCCCACTTGATGGCCGAGTCTTGGCCTGAACGGAACGGCAAGCAAAACGAGCTAGGCACTTAACGTGTTAAACAGACATCCACGCATAAATCTTGACCAAAATAATACCAAAGGGAAACTTGCCTGATATTTTTCCACTTCCAAACCAAGTATCCTTCCAAAACACCCACGTCCAATCAAAAAACTTTATCTTTCCTCCACCCACGACCACTCTAAACCAATCAACACAAACTGTGAGGAGACACCAGACAGAGCTTGACTAGACAAGAGAGACGTTGGTTAGAACTCGAAGACATCACATCAGACGAAAACTAGAAGTCAATCAGTACACATCAAGATGGAAGGCGAAGATGACATACCAAAAAACATATCTACACCAATCATCTAAATCGAAATCATCAGTATAATAAAGTGTATATAAACAAAATTGCTTTTTAGTACACAAGTACACAAGATACTTCTCAGTATCTCGATAAATTCGGCATACTGAGAGAAGGCAACCTCTAATAAGAAGAGTGCAAGTCCTTCGGATCATTGATTTAGTTGAAACTTTGCAGGTTTGTAGATTTAGCTATTCAGTTCAGGGAAATGTACCATTATAGGGGCAACTACTCGATAGTTTTGAGATATGTACGATTAAAGTTTCTTCCGAATAGTTGTCGATAGTTATCAAGTGGCATTGTAGCCTAACGACAACATCCGAAAATTGCCATCAACGTGGAAATTTTCGGATATCGTCATTAGGCCACAACGGCACTTGATAAATATTTGAAATAAATCTGCAATTAAGGCAATAATAAAACTCTAATCATAAATGTAGGATCAGATTTTGGGTGGATTGACTCAAGATAGTATTGTTCGCTTCTTAATAGAATAAAATAAGCTTATAAATAGAATGACAGCGGCTGGCTATGAAACAAGAGAGATTCGCTATGGGCACGCTCTTTTGGTTTTTCTTAAACTGACTCTTATAAACTGACTTTAGACTTTGACACACTGTCTTTCACTGCAAACTCTTAGACTTTGGACATTCTTCAACTGACTGATGGACTGTCTTAGACTGAACTGTTAGACTGACTTGGACTTCTTACACACCCTGACTCGCCCGTGCCCTTGCACCCTTATTTAAACCATTCATTCTGTCCTTTTTTCACACTCGAGCTTTCCTTCCCAATCATGCCTCTTTCCCCGTAGCCTCGGTGAACCAGGTACTTCGAACACACACTGCACTCATAAACTAACTTCCATTTGTCCATCGCACTCGGCTGTCATACACATCCATTCGATCTTCTTGCGCGTGGTCATCTTTGTTCTAAGTTCAAACACTCCCGACACTCTTCCAAGGCCACACTCATTCCAATCCTACTTAAATATCTCGAAAACTATCGAGTAGTTGTCCTCATAATTATATATTTTCTTGAATTGGATGACTAAATCTACAAACCTGCAAAGTTTCAACTCAATCTATGACCCGAAGGACTTGCACTCTCCTTGTAAGCCAAATCCACGGCTGCCTTCGTGCTACAGTGTAAATGATACTGAAAATATATACACGTTGAAATGAAATCTTGGATAAGCTAAAATTTAATTAATAATTTAATCAATCAGTAATATTTTTAGCACAAAAATTTAATATCTTCTATGTTTTAATTATCTTATAAAAGTACGAGATTACTACAGGTAGAAAAGTTAAGACATTTACTATAGCAACTTTAATACCAAATAAAATTTTTTATCTTTACTTATTTTTTTAGAGATATTTTTACACGATTCTTGCATTCTTTTTCCTTTTTTTATTATCACTAATAGTGAAACAAATGTGTAGAAATAAATATTTTGATTAATAATATTTTTTTATTTTTGTTTAATGTGTTCTTCGTTATTTTTAACATAAGTGTTGTTATGTAAAATTTCTGTTATACAACATAGTGTAATTGATAAAATTGTAATTTCATTATTGTAATTGACGTAAAAGTGCGTTGTAATTAAACATCTTATTTTCAAGGACATCTGTTTTTCAAATCGTCTTAATCGTTTCTTTTTTTTTGTAAAAAATAAAAATGAAAATATGAAATTTTACTTTTTCAAGCAATGTAGTTCTATATCTAGTCATCTTTACACGATTACGTCATTGGGATATATAGACTGACCTACTTTAAGTGCTGTTAGTATAACTATTCATATACTGCAATTCAGCGAATAGAAGAATGCGAAATAATAGTGCAGTGTAACCTATAAAAGCACAATGGCATTGATTATATAAATGCATATCACAGCATCAGTGTTAATATTTTATTGATACATTTTCTCAAAGCAATGTTAAGTTCAATTGGACAATACCTAAAAATGTTTTAATTGTCTCTTTCTTTTATATACACGTTCGTAAATTATACCTTTTTACAAAACTATTAGTTGTTACATATTTTATAACGTACACGTGTTAGTGTAAATTTTAAGACACAATCTTTTGTATTTTCTTATACCATTCCTTTATTATTATTATTATTTTTATTATTATTAATTTAATTATTGTATGTACACGATATCTTTTTACGGATATTATGAAAATAGTTACTTTCTAGTGTTTATTTTAGTGATATTTATTTCCACTATCTTTCTTTCTAGAAAAATAAAATAGTTAAATGTTAAAATATATTATATACATGTATAAAAATTTATTAATATATTCCGTTTGTGACTGACACCGAAACACTGTTTTCTTATCAATCTTCCATCCGTTAGTATAAATTTTAAGACAATCTTTTGTATTTTCTTATATCATTCCTAAATATCATTTTCTAATTTATTGAATAGATAATTTCAATGTATAGTTTTCGTATTTAAGGTATTTAATTATTTATTTTATTATTATTAATTTATATCATTAATTTAATTATTGTATGTACACGATATCCTTTTACTAATATTGTGGAAATAGTTACTTTCTAGTGTTTATTTTAGTGATATTTATTTGAACTATTTTTCTTTCTAGAAAAATAAAATAGTTAAATGTTAAAATATATTACATACATGTATAGAGATGTATTAATATATTCCGTTTGTGATTGACACCGAAGCACTGTTATCTTATCAATCTTTCATCCGTTTCAGCTTATCCCTACTTTGGTACCATACAATTGCACGTCCATTTTTCGCTCTTGATGGAAACAATCGACAAGCTGGTGTAAACGAAGCGAAGCAATTAATCGTGGAATGTCTTCCAGAATTTAATAATTCTGCACTTTTTCTTTTCTTTGCTGGCCGAATAGAAAGACTCGAGGTAAGAGTGCATTTATATTATAAATAGTTTATTTATTATTATTATAAATAGATAAGTATATATACTTCCTATTTACGTATCATGCATATTATATGGTATTCGATATTTTCTTTGACATTACTGCTAACATGACATGATACGATATGTCATGACATAACAACGATAGTTACTTTTTCCTCCATGTTATGTATAATAGTATAATTAAGTATAAATGAACATCGTTATTATTTAAGGATATATTGTTTTGTGTATTTTCTATATTTTAAATTCGTTATATATTTATTTCATTATTTATTTATTTTATATATTTAAATTCGTTATATTTATTGCTTTAATCCTATTTAATGGCTTGAAACGTTACACTATAATTTGAAAAATTTGTGCAATTGGTTCTGTTAACAATAACCTTCAAAGAAATATTTTATTGTTTGAAATATTTTGCCACATGTTTAGAAATAATAATGGTGACATAATAAAAATGTTTAATATATGATAGCCTTGTAATATTGATTGTAATAACTACTAATATTTGACAATATGTAATAATATTCCAAAAATATAATGTAATAATTATAATAATTATGATGTAATAAGTCATAATTATATAATTATAATTTATAAATTATGATTATAATAATTATGATACCTGTTAAGCTGTTGAATTTATTAGTTTTTCAGTTTTTAAGTTTGTTAAGTTACCTGTTAAGTTTGTTAGTTTTTGAGAAATAATATTGTACGCCATTCTACAATGATAGCTCTATTCATTTGATTTTCATATCTTTATAAAATAATGACAATAAACATATTTATAGAGGAATTGTAAATATCATAAATATTTCAATGAGTAAAAATTCTCATCATTTTTAAAGTATCTGGTTTAATCTTCACGTGATTTGAAGACATAAATACTACTTTTAATTGATATTAATAGTATATTCAAAATTCAGATTTCTAATTATAAAATTTATTATTATCTGTTAATTAATTTCACGTTTCATGGAATCCTTTTAAATTATTGTGGGATGGCGAGCAGTGAAGGACATTGACAAAGTATTAACCCTTTGCACTCGACGATTTTTTGGCTAAAAAAGAATAAGAGTTCAAAGATTTTCTGTTACAAAGCTGACGATATTTTTCTGCGCAGTGAATAAAAAGTCGTATGACAATTAACACGTAGAATTATTTGATTTCGATACCTCACACATTACCTGAAATTTGACATATTAATAAATAACAAGCTTCGAAATTTTATCAAATAGCGACTAAAGGCCGCCTCTCGAGCGCAAAAAGGTTAAAAGTGATAGCGGGGCAAATAAGTGTGCAGTCTTACTTCTAAGGGAATACATGGAAACGCTTAGAACGCTTCTCGAAAAGCGAGGAATAATAAACAGCTGCATCGGTTTGACTCGGGCGTTCAGAGCGAAAGAACAAACGATAGCGCGAAAGAATCCTTTTGTCGGGATGTCTATGACTGTATCAAGTGATTGAGAAGGAAAGCCTGTGTATGAAAAGAGAGAGTTTTGGCTACTACGAGTGACTATAGTCACCGGTCACGAGACGCCATCTACACTCGACGGGTGACTATAATCACCGGCCACAAAAATTGGCCTTCTCTTACCTCTCTTCGCAAAGAATTGCAAGCTCTATTGCGATGGTCAGTTTTTCCTTTTATTTTTCCTTCGAAAGATTTGCGTCAAAAACCGAATGCTAAATATTGCACTATCATAATGTTACCATCTTTGACATGTCGCTTCGTTCTACTGGAGAGACTTCACGCGCCGTAGTGAAAGGGTTAAGTAAGAATGCAAGAGCGCGAGAGAAGTCAGAAGGCATAAAGCAGAATGTGTGTAGTCGAGACGTAGTGAACAGAGGATCGTGTGTTTTAGAGTTACAATTGAGAGGAACTTAGTGTAATATTTTAGTTAAATAAACCTGTTTTGTTATTAACACTAGATCTACCAAGAGGGATCAGAATGATTTGTTTAGCATTTCTTATAATTAGTATTCATTTTCAATACATTTTGTTTCCTAAAATTTTGTATGACTTTCTAAAATATGCAAATAATTATTTCTGTAAAGTAGTTTTCTTTTTTTTCGTCTATTTGGTGTAAAATTTTATGCAGTATACCTCCATATACCGAGATGAGTCATTTTAATGTCTAAATAAACCTGTTTTGTTATTAAAATGGAATTATTGTTTATCAGACGCTCAGATCTCTGTCAAATTATAGTCATAGTATATATAACTCTAATAACGCAGATCTCAGGATAAATTTAGCATAAAGTCCTACATTATTCTTCCAATTGTAAATCTTTGTCAAATGAATTTTGTTTTGCAGTCAAACGTAAATGGTGCTCTGCAAGCGTACGCAAAGGCTGTTGCAGCTTCGAAACAAAGGGAGATCAGATTATTGTGTCTACACGAGGTGGCTTGGTGTCATTTGATTCGTTTAAGTTACGAAGAAGCTTATCGATCTTTGACACAATTGCGACAACAATCTAGGTGGTCAGTGAACTTTTACGCTTATTTAGCAACTGGTAAGATATTTATTTCTCTCCTTTCTTAGTCTTATCGCTTTTATTTTGACTACCTCTTTAAATATTTCTTTCCAGTCTGTTGCGGAGCCCTCGGAAAATTTGATCTCGTAGCCTCGTCTTACCGAAAAATGCTTCATTGCGATAATCGAATGTGCAAAGAAACGCAACTTGGTTTATTTGTCCTACGTCGAACACCTAAACTCCTAGATCAGGAAACTGGTCAACCTTATACAGTCTTGTACTACAGGCTACTCGTGTACGAATTACTATACCTGTGGAACGCGATGCCGTCCTGTTCTGTAGACTCGCTGCAAGGAATACTTTTAGGTAATAGAAAATATTTTATTTCTGCGAATTAAAACTATTTAAAATTATTCCTTTGAAATTATTTTTTATAAAATACAGAATTTTCATAAAATACAGAAAAAGTATTACGCATAATTGTGGCATTAAATTTTTGTTATGGTGTAAAAATGTTGAAATATTGGTTAGAGCTATTTCCAAAATATGAGTACGTTTATTCGAAAATTAATTTTAGAGATTGTTCATTTTTTCGCTCATTTTATTCATTTTAAATAGTTACCGTTTATTTTAATTATTACCGACTTCTTTGAAAATGTATGTATGCATATATACGTTTAAAAATTTATTTTAAAGTATAGTAATAATTTAATACCTATTTTCTCTATAATCACTTTTTTAGAATGCAAAGTTAGTCTTTCGGACGAACCAATGGTTGGATTAGCCAGTTTAATCGAAGGAGCAGTTTATTCTTCTCTCGGCGATACTCAAGCATCAATTGAAAGTTACAGAAATTGTTTAAAACGTCGTAGTCCGAACAATGACTCGTACGATCAGCATATTAGTGCATTTGCACTTTATGAACTTGGTTCTGCGCTTTGCAGTGTTAATGTAAGTAATAGATATTTAAACAAATGTTTAACATTTGTTAGGAAATTACACTCTACAACACGAATTTTAATCAGTAATATAAATACATTGGGTAATTCTTGTAGAGTTTACTTTCCTGAAAACGAATCCGTAATCGAAATTGCTCTATCACCTTTAATTTTCGAAAATTATGAATTTCTCTAAAAACGTACGATTTTTGGTTAAAATAAAGTATTACGTAAAAAGTAAGAACGTTAAGTGGTTTATTTTCATCTTAAAAGTTAGGTGGGAATTTATTTTTTAACAGCTTTATATTAAAAAGTATTCGTATTTATGTATCGAATAACCAAATTGTTTCAAATTACAAGTGATTTCGAGAAATTCCTGATGATTTTGCGATCAGCATAAAAATGTACATAAAAATATATATATATGTTACGCATATAGAAAATGCAATCTAGTAGGCGATGATTTTGGTGTCGATTACGCATGATTACGGCCCTGACGAAGCTAGAGTAGCGAACAATGGCTGCGTGGCGACAAAATCCCGCTTACGGATTCTCGATATAGATTTTACCGTCCTGTAAATATTGAACATCATTCTAATAATGTTCCTGGATGGTTTCTTCTTCAGAAAAGCCTACAGAATACCCTACTGCGTAACAAGTTTGGTTCAGAACTATTACTAACTAAAGAACTATTTGTAGAAATGCAAGAACATACGGACAAAGTACGCTCAGAGCCTTATTTTCAACACGTTAAGTGCCCAGCCCGTTTTGCTTGCCATTCCGTTCAGGCCCAGACTCGACTGTCAAGTGGGCCACCCGTGGCGGACGAAGTGTTCACAAGACTCAGAGATACTGTACCAGTTGGTATAACAGGAATTCTCAAACGTTAGGTCCAAAGGTGGCGAAGAATTTAACACCAAAAGTTAGCACCGTTTGGTCCTAGTCTGGACCGGTCCCTGAGGACCGGTTGGGCCCGAACGGAAAGTCTAGCGCCGGTCCCTGGGGACTGGCATGGCACTTAACGTATTAAACTTCGACGACTAATTATAATTATGGGCATTGGTAAACTCCGAATACTTTCACCTAATTTGTAAGACGGCAATAAACGCCCTAATGTTCTTACTTTTTATGTAATACTTCATTTTTGCTAAAAATCGTGCCTTTTGAAAAAACTCACATTTTCCGAAAACTGGGGGCTTTTGATTACGGATTTTATATTCGGGAAAGTAAACACTATAAGTATTAGCTAATGAATATTACAGATAGGAAGAAAAGTTAAAATTTGTCGAAAAGTCTTATTAAATTAATTTCTGTGAAAATTTTATTGTCACATTTATAAATTATTTTTTTTCTAGGAAATTTAATATATCCCATTATCAATTTGTCTGTTTAGCACAGAGTAACAAATAAACATAAAAGTTGTGAAACTTTAGTGTGTATTAATTAATTGTAAATTCAATTTAAATTTAATTCAATCATATGATATTAATATTTTCTTTTTTCAAACCTAGATATCTTTTACAAATTATACGATTTTAATAAACCTATTACTGTTAGTATCAATACTCATGGTATGTGTATCTAATTTCAGAACATTGAAGAAGGAAAAATGGTTCTCTTGAGAGCTCAAAATCAATACAGAGATTACGACTTCGAGCGCCGACTTAACGTACGGATACATACTACTTTAAGAAGTTTTAATTGACGAAAAATAAAACTCGAGCAATTATGCCATCAGTTACTACAAAATTTACCAATGGAAATAAAAATTTGACAGTGATTAGATATCGTCTGTCCGATATGCTAAATTTTGTCCTATAAACATTCCGTCTATGCAATTTGACCCAAGATGTTTATATACATCGACAATTCAAATTTAAAAACCTTATTGTTACAAAATAGTATTTTTAGAATATGACAAAACCGTACCAAAAATGTTCGTTAATTCCGTCTATATAAAAGTTGCATCAATACTAAGCGATTGTTAAGTGATTGTTAAGTCGCATTAACTAAGTAATTGCATTTAAAAATGAGTATTCTGCTGTTATATACGATGTACATAAATCTAAGTACGCTATTATTGTATGTATATACATTAGATTTACAGTATAAGAGTACTATATTACGTTTAAGTGTTATCTATATAAATAGGCAAGAATGATATACCTCCATAAATTAATGTTAAGGATAAATATTGCACTATTGTAGCTATATAAAATTTTTATTGCATTTTCTTATCGTTGTTTTATCAGAAAATTATTTCTTTATGTTAAGTTATTAACGTTCATATATATTCATTTTAACTGAAATGAATATTTATAGAGATTCATCGATATTAAACAAGGTGCTTTAATGTAATTTTATCTATGCTATAGATAGTTATTAAAATAGAAAATTGTAGATCGAATTGTAATATATCTATGATTTATTTACTATCTAAATATTTTGAAATTATCAAAAGTAATATTTGTAAGCGATGTCTATCTATCGAATTGTACAATATATGATAACATATGTTAAAATCAAGGATATGTACAGATATGAAACGTCTAACAAATCAAATAATTTTATACAAAAAACTAGTTTATAAAATTTATCAAAATTTAATTTCATATGTTATATTATAAATAAAATTATTTCATTTAAGAAACTTGAATCTTTTAAAAATTTATTCAAACATTATGAATAAAAATATGTGTTATACTTTTATTTTTAGTTACAACAGATCATAACTTCCTCTTTCATGAAGTATTAATAGTAAAACTTGAGCAATTATTAGTGTATATACTTAAATAAATAATATATATTTTTTTAAAATATTTAGCAGCTATATGTTCGAAATGATAAGGTAGAAATTTATTTTATATATACAACATATTATAAAAATATAAAAATATAAAAACATAAAAATAAATCATAGATATAACATGAATATGTAAATTCAAGATTTTTAAATTCTGCGTACGATATTTCCAAGTATTAATTATAACAAATTACACAAACATAAAATTTAAACATTTTTATACGCAAAATAATAAAATAAATAACTTGTGAAGATGATATACGATTCTCTTAAAAACAACTGAAAATACATTTTTATTTTAAATTATACCTATTAATCCACACAACAATTTCCTTCTTTACTTTTATTTTTAAAAAGTGCTTAGAATTCAGTTTTTAAAATTGTACTGTATAACAATAAAAATATGAAAAATTAAAAAAGGAAAGTATGTTTCTTATATAAAATTCATAAAAACAGCAATAAATTCCTTATATAAAAAAAGTTCTTTCAAAATAAAAGTGGTAGAACTTCTGAGATTCTACTCGTCATAATTATTAATCTGAAGCTTAGTTTAAAACCTATCAAACGGAAATTAGCTGCTAACAAATTGAAAAAATTTAATCGAAATTACAAAGCAACCAACTATAGAGTGTCTGTTTAGGTTCTTCAAAAGATCAAACCTGTGATTATGAGTGCGATCCGATGAGCGTTCAAAATACGTACTGCTGTGCAAATGGAGGAACCTGTCCAGCTGTTATATTGAATTCCTCTCGCCACTCTCCTTGGTACTGTAAATTCATCAAACCATTTGTATTTTGCATTATTACGTCGTTATTAGGTACGTTATTTTATGGTTAACTTATTAAGAAACTTATAAATTAATCTGTAATTGGATGATTTTTAAAAAATTAGTATCTCAAACATTACACATATAATTATCGTAGCAATGTATAAATAATTTTGCATTCAAGTTTTTATTAGTACTTCTCATTTTAAAGTATATCAGATGAATAATAAAAGAATACCTTAAGAAATATTTATTAAATTTTTTAATATCTTTTGAAGATGTTTGACGACTTTGTAAATTTGAATTAGGATTGAAGTTTTAGTTACGAGTTTAAAATGTTAATACATTTCGTGTAATATGAATCAGTAATGATTGTTATTACTAATCAATTACACAACTTTTTTATTTTATAAATGCATACGCTATACATTAATGTAAATATAACAGAAAAACAGTTAAATAAAATTCCAATATGTTTTTCAAAATTCCAAATAAAATAACTTAAGAATTAATTTTTTAATTCTTAAATAATATACCTTAAGAATTAATTTTTTAATTCTTAAATAATATACCTTAAGAATTAATTTCCAAAATCTTAAGTAACATAACTTAAATAACATAAATTTTCGAAATCTGAAACTGCACAACTTAGAGGTTAATTTTCTAACATTTAAGTGATATAACTTAAGAATTAATTTTCGAATTTTTAAGCAACATAAACAAAAATTTTGTATGGAAAGGAACGTATTAACAATTATATATATAACTTATATTATAATTTTATACTTAACAATATTTTAAAATAAAAATGAAAAGAAATAACGTGGGATAAAATGCTCTGCATTAAACGTTTCAGCAATGTCCATCTCCCATTTGTGCGACAAATACTCAGCCAATACAACGTTCAAGATAATCAGATCCGACTTGGTGAATCTGCGAACGCATTTAAATATTCTTTCGGTAATTACTGTACCGTTTGTCTTGTACAACTGTAAACGATATTAAAGCACAATTTTAAATGATCGCTTAGATGGAAGTAAAGAACGTAATGGAAACGCGAGACGATTTAAAGAGTAAGTTGAAAGAGATTGGATTCGTGATTCCAAAAATGTCTGAAGCCATTCTGTATTTAAGAAACGAAGTATCCGAGGGTAAAAAAGATATGATGTATCAGTTACGACTTACTTATTGTTCCTTGTCGTATTAATCATAGGCGTTCGTTTACTCAAAATAGGAATGGAACAGCACAAGAAGGCGTTGTTGAAGGCTATGTCCCCGGAAGCCATTCGAGAATTGGTACAAAACGAATTGCAGACGTATGATGCTGATAAAACAGGAAGAACGGATTATGCACTTGGAAATTCAGGTTTCGAATTATTACTGTAGATTATTTCATTCTTATAGTAATTACAGTATTAATGCGGTACAAATATTGGAGATATTTGGCCAAAGCGGTAGAGATGTAAACAAAGAATACTTGGCTAGAACGACAGAGATATGAAATAAGAATGTATGGACCAAATACCGTTGCACAGTGTCCAAAGCTGGACAGTGACTACATAGACGACACAGGGACAGGAGAAGTATTCTGTTCGTTTCGTTTGGTTCTACCTATGCCAGCAATCCTTCTGAAATCCCTACTCCTAAATTTCCGGCAACAAACAGTGACATAGTAGTAGGATAAGTTACGTCGTTACGGTTTTTGTCTTATGTTAATAATTAGTACTGATTCTACGCCTATGGCAATGTTTTGTATCTCTCTCCTTGTGGCTTTATCCCACTCGATTTCAATATTCCGTTCGCCACTATACTATAGGATGCGATAAATACGACACCTTCAGCCAATAAGAAAGATTCCTTTGTCCTGTGTTTATAATCGTATTAGCGGAGACGAATCTGTTATATTGTGACCAATCAGACCCGCATTCCTTCTGTTCATCTTTCCAACTCTGCATAGTTTTGCGAAACGCGTGAACAAAAATTCACATTCATGGTTTTATGTAGTTAAATTTCTGCATAGTATGGAATAAATCTAGCAATAATGAAAAAGAGAATGTGCAAATATATATTATTGAGAAAATGCAGGTAGGAATTAATAAGAATATCGAGTGAAAAATAATTAATAAAATATCGTAATATAGTGCATTATATTGTAACCATAACCATAGTATAATGTAAGTGTTCTCAATCTGGGGTGCGCGAACTTCTAGGAATATTTTTAAAGGAATTTCATATACTTTATGAATACGAAATTTAATGTGTGTATATATGGTTTTATTTTCTTTTATTTTTACTCGTATACTATAACTATAGCGTTATCAACTTATACAAAAAATTTATAAGATACGCAACATAAGATTGAGAAACGGACAGGTTTAGTTACATCTTTATTCAAATATATCCAATTATTTAAGTTAGTGCTCATATTTACTTAGTTATCTCTACTTATCCCTTTCTCATATTTTTATAAGATAATAATTAGAATACTATTGAAATCGTAACAGGTGGTGCGATACTCTCAACGAGACAAACCGAAACGTATTCAGCTGGTGCACCAGTGTTGAAACTTTTTGGAATACCGATTTGCCAGCAACAAAATACACCGCATGCTATACTCCAGGTTATTAAAGATTATTTTTAATGGCACTTATAATTGGTTTGAATCATATAGTGCTCGTAAATTATTCTATTAAACATGAGTCTCCCCCTTTAATGCTGCAATGACATTGTTAATGTTACCTATAGTCAGAGATGTCTGCAAATTAATTTAATAATTTTAAATATTTAACACCATATAATAAAACTGAAAAAAATTATTGACCAATTTTGAATTTCAGTTTAATTCGTTAGCTATAACTTACTATTAATTTTACATTACTAAATTCTATTCAATATTTATTTGATAGATTATTTGAGAGAATTTTAATCTTTTAAAGATTAATCATGAAAAAATGTATTTTAAATTGATGTCATATGGTACTGATTGAGTGTCAATCACCTTATCTCTTTCTAAATATATCAAATTACTGTTTCAGAAGTGAAAACACTTGTATTGACTTCCAGGTTTCAATTTTATAACTGTGCTATATCATTCCAACCAATTAATTAAGGTTATAGTATGTAATTAATTAAATTTAATCTTCTCATCTTATAATTTTTTTTCCTTGTTAGAAATTTCGATAAATTTAATTTTCTATAATACTAATTATTGAATAAATTGTTTTTAAACAGAGGAAAGTAATGAAATTTGAAGAAATATAATGAAAATAAAATTGTTATGAATATAAATACATAAAAATATTTACATATTTGACAAATATTACGTAAAATTATATTATACTGAATTATAACGAATATACAATTAATTTTGATTATTTCATTTCAAACATTTGAATCATTTTCCTTTGTGTAGGCTGGTGTCCTTCCGGGTGAATGTTGGGCATTTAAAGGCAGCAGTGGAAGTGTTGTTATACAATTACTTGGTTTTGTATGTGTGTCTGGTGTAAGTTTGGAACATATTCCACAGTCGATATCTCCGACGGGGGAAACGAGCACCGCTCCAAAAAAATTTTCTATTTTGGTAAATTTTATGTATTTACTACATTTGAACATTTATCCCTCTGTTATTTATTACTTTTATAATCTACCTCACGAAATATTTTTCTGAGATGGATAAAGAACGTTACAATTTATCATCCGAGAAGCTAGTACAATGTATGATTTAAATAAAATTAGGTTTCATTAAATATGAATGAATAAAAAATTTGAGCATTTACTTTGTAAATTATTAACATAATAGTAAAAAAGATAAATAAACAATAAATTATCTTTTAAATAACAATTCAAAACCATTTTCTTTTTAATCACTGATGATTCCAGTGAAAAAATAAATTTGCTATAAATTTATTGTATTATCTAACAATGTGTATCATATATTTTTAGGGCTTAACAAGCGTGGACGATGAAAAACCATTTCTTTTTGGTGAATTCATGTATGATAATACTGGTCCTCCCATACAATATTTTGAAGTTCAGGTATAGTAAGATTTATCAGTTTTATCATGATTTTAAAAATATATCATTTTTAATTTGCAGCATAAATCAAATGAAGCATATGAAATAATTGAATTAATGGTTCATTCTAATAGTGGAAACAATGAATATACATGCATCTACAGAATAAGAGTTCACGGAACCTTAAGGAAGAAAAGTAGATAACTTTTATTAAATAATTATTTAATTATCGTGGATCGAATGTAGAAATTTTGGCATAGCTTTTGCGACCAAAAGGACTGGCTGAGAGGTTGTCGATATAGTGTGTAATTAATAATATATTATTGATTTGGATAAGATTTTCGTATGTAAGGTATTATGTATACTTCATTATATAGTAAACAAAGACATATAGTTCTCGTATTATTATTGTTTTTATTATTATTACTTATGATTAAATATAATTTAATTAAAACAATTGAAAGAATACAATAATAGAAGAAAGTAATTATATTGCTGCTACTATTAAAATTCAGACACAAAAAGTAAATACATATTTCTTTGTATAATACAAATATTTAACATCAAAACATAATATACATTTGCTATTTTTTACGTGGAAAAGTGTTTATCATAAAATAGATTTTGAAGAAAAATATCACAAAAATTACACTTTTTCGCATCTACAATCTTCAAAATTTGTAGATTTGCAACACTCTTTTTAAATAAAATGATATTTTTGAAAAACAAAAAAGCAGTTAGTACTTACAAACAAACTTTATTATATATTTGCCCTTCGAAACAAATGCTTCAACTTTCAAACATTTTCTCTTAGAATTAATACAACAAGGAATAAGATTAATATAAAATACCTAATGAACGTAATTGAATGCTCAAGGACATATCCATTTGATTTTACTACAAATAGGAAGCCTATGTGTCGTGTTACAAATTAATAATTAAATTATGTTATAAACTAAACAATTCCTTTCACAAAATGATCACTCGTTGTATCTACGTAATTTTATTATCATAAAAATGACTACCAAACATAATGATAAATTAACAGTGTTTAACTCGCTCTTTCATTCTACTACAACATAGTGTCTTACTCCATACTACAAAATAACAGTTATCAATACTCACCACGGATAAAACAAACGGGTGGAAAAAGACTAGAATAAATAAAAAGTCATCGAGTCAATTCAACGTAATCGTCATTCAATTTATTACATTTGTACATATTTAGTCTTGTTCTACGCTTCTATCGTCGTGCTTCATCACTTTTACACACACTCGCACGCACGCACTCTTTCTTTCTCCCTCTCTCTCCCTCCTCCTACCTCCGCCATTACTCTTCTCGAATTTCGATCGTACATTCGCGTGGCTAGACTTTCCCAAAAAATTCACGTATACGCACATGTACGCGACATCAGGCAGACAAAAAGGACGCTTCTCGGCGGTCGTATGGACCATGCCTGGTACGTTACTGTTGTAATTAAAATAGCACGATACATCTGAGGGCGGCTAGCCGTTCTTCGTTTAATTTCATGTTTCCATTTTTGTTCTCGGGTTTTCTCTTTCTCTCTCCACGTTTGCTTCCTCGTTCCTCTTATGCTCTTACCACGTTTCCCCCTCCTGTTTTGTCCAATTTTTTTTTTTTTTTTACCTCGCATTGTTTCTGTTCTTATTTTTTATTTTTTGTATTTTTTTTCTCTTTTTGTTGCTTTTCATATTTTGGTTTCCATTTAAATAGACGATTACGCACTGCCTCCTTCAGGAGCGAAGAACAGACTCGAGAGGCACGCGGCAACAAGTACACTGAATAACACGTTTAATAACTCTGATTACGTGCGCGCGCACGATTCATCTCTTGTACTTATTATTCACGTAACTATTTGTATATATACGTATATGTGTGCAGGTATGTACGCATATATGTATATATTTTTCATTTTATTAATTTTATTCACTTATTTCTTGATTTTTTTTTTCATTTTTTTCCTTTTTTGTTTTTGCATTGTTCTAGCGTAGTTCTCCCCTCTCATCGGATTTTCACGATCGCGGATAGAACCTATGCCGCGGTATTGCGCACACACATAAGTAGTTTCGCTTAATTCTGGTTTTATTCATTTTTTTTTTTCTTTTTTTTTTCTAAACTCATTTGCGTCTGTCTCACTAAACGATACACGTGCAGCTGATCGGCGAATTTTCGCGCACGGTCACACGATCATCCCGTGGCTAGAGTAAACTATAATTCGGAGGTCAGTCGTCTAACGCTATCGAGCTATCGAGACTCGGTCGTGGTGCCAGAGAGACGCGCGTATATGTAACCATGTATGTGTACATGTGTATGTGTATTTTTATATATATACGCAATTATATATATATGTATATTATATGAATACATTACAATCTAGTAGTTCTGATTAAAAGGTCCAAGGAAGTCCAATACGCCACGATTACGAATATTATTTCACCCCGATAAACAATGACATTACCCCACGTGACACATTGTTCTCCCTTCTCTTTATCTCCTGTTCTTGCCCTGCTACGATTAATAAATCCCACCGATACTGCTGACTAGAATTCCACCGAAATTTAATTCTGCGCTACCATCTCGAATACGACGATTACAACGATCGGTCAAGTAGAGATCTTCCATCTTAAGTCGTACATAAGTAGTATAGGCGCGATTGTGCGTACGAGATCTACGTTAGACCTTTTAAACGGAGTAAGTTTTGACTATGAACAGTCGATACCGCTACGTAGTTTCGTTTACTACGGGCCGATACCGTGCGATCGATCGATCGATCGAACGAAGAATCCGGCTGATTTATACCATCGTCGTATGTCACGCTAACGATTGTCTCGCTTGTCGAACGATTAACGATTAACAGGTAGTTGGAACGAAACGACCGTTCCACGGCGTTAATTAACAGCTGTCTCGATTAACAGGTTCAACGAGATACACAGAGAAACTATTACTATTATAATGCTGGTAACAGTTCGTTACGCCTATGATTATCGTATCACGTGTGACACGTAACGAGTAAGGCAGCTGGTAATCGATCCAGTCAGAACGGAAATGAGATCGACTCTCTCGATCGATCGATCGATCGTTCGGACCAGTCACGTGACTATCTTCTCTCATATTCGTTTGCAACATCGCGCACAGCGCTCGTTAACGTTTAGCAACCTATGAAACTTCGAGTCAACGAAGAGAAGTCGCCAATTGCCGTTGATCGTTCGAAGCACGGGCACCACCACCGCACGAAGGTTCGTCAACGTTCGTCAACGTTCGTCAACGTTAGAAGGCATAGAATTGTGTTTACTTTACTTCCTCTTTTTTACTTTTAGTTAATTACTTCATTTTTTTATTCTTTTTGCTATTTTTTCTTCATTTGTAATTTGTTGAATTTATCCCCGACAATCGTTAAATATTACCGCACGCGGTAGTATCAAAATAAACCACACCGAGTGTATAGTATAGAATATTCGTAAGTGTATGTATGTACAGTAGAGTTTTTTCTATCGTATTATATATTTGTGTTTTATATTTTCTCCTTACGTCACTCATAGCCCCGCACTCGTCCTCGTTTTATGTTTCTCCCTTTTGTTTTATATTAAAAAGTCGCACTACCATTTATATTTTGTTTCTCTAATTGCTGCTTCTCCTTGTTCTTTGCTCTTTCCTGTCGTCGCTGTTTTCCCTCTGACGTTTGCCATTATTACGTACAACGCTTTTCTTTCTCTCTTTCTCTCTCTCTCTCTCTGTCTCTCTCTCATTTGTTTTTTTTTCTTTTTATATAGGAAATACACTACGATTAAAGTATATCACAGATGTTAACGAGAAGAACGTTCTAGAACGCGAGAAAGAAACGAAGAGAAGGAAACGAAGAGAATATTTCACTCATCGTTAGTCGCCGCAGGATTATCCGGAAGTACACGGCAGCTGGTATCGGCATAGCTTTCCACGAGAACCCGTCGAGTAATACCAATTGACATAGAGATTAAAGATTGTACGAGTTTCAATTTGTATTAAAGATTATCACAACGTCGGAGTTAGTCTTAAGTTCCTAATCGTATTTACTTCGAACTCCGAGCTATCGTCGAGTTTTACATAGAGTTAGCGTGAAAGAGGTGACAAAAATACCATTATAATCGACTAAACTATGAACTGGCTGTTTATTACTTTAGCCAATCGTAACAATATTTGTTCGGCCTCCTCCTCCTCCTCCCCTTTCGACCACACATGTTGGTTCTGAGAATATTTAATTACGAAGCTCTTAACATCTAGTGTTAATACACGATTTCTTTTGTTTTCGCAGCTAAAATCTCCGCCTCGCGATCACGAAAAGACTACGCTACTTTTTATTCTTTTTGTCATTTATATCCCGAAACTGGTTTTTATCTAGATTTTCTGGCACTTCGGTAATGACCATTTGCTTCTTCCTTCTTTTTTTTATTCTTATTTTTCGCATGTTCGTGGTTTGGCACCTTTCGTTCCTCCGTCGAGAGCTACCCACGATCCACCGTGGCTCTCGAAACTCTCCTGCGAACGACACGCGTTATTATTCGACGAGCTGGAGAAAAAGGAAAGGCGAGAAAGTGTGGTCCGATTAATTGCAATTGTCGCGTAGACTCGACAAATTTGTTTTACCTAACGACTACGTAAATTCTCTAATTATCGACGCAGAACTACGTCGTTCTTCATCCTACCAATTCCTACGGATCGACTTCCACGATGTATTTTTAACGGAACGTAAGATCGGTTCCGCTGGCAATAATAGATTGTCATAGGTTTTTCATCTTCTTTTTTTTCTTTTTTTTTGGTTGCTTTCGCTTTTGTTCGTACGTGCGTTAAACTTCGCGCTCACCGCGCACGCGCAATCTCTCATTCGCGTTTTCGCTTTTCTCTCTTTCGTTTACACGCTGAAGCCACAGCTGTTCTAGCTGTGCCCGCGATCGGATATTCTATTATACCTTTAATTTATTACTCTCTGCTTGTAATTCACACGCTCCATCAAGAGCGTGTCATTGAACGTAACATGTCTTTCCC